CCTATGACAGCTGGAATAGGCTCCAGCGACCCTGAAAAGGATAAGTGGAAGTGAATGGATGGATGGATAATTATAAAGATGCAACAAAGAGGTAAAACTACAGAATGAGAGCTGCTGATTTTCTCAAGGTAAAGACTCTTCACTATTTACGAGAGAAGACCAATCATTTCACCAATCCAAGAACTCCCTTTTAACAGGAAGAGACTTCCAGCACAAAATGACTCGTGGATGAGTAACCATCTGCTGTTTGGAGTTGGGGTTGAGTGAAAAGAGAAGGAAAAAAATCCCATTGCATTAACATGTGCCAATGGACTGCCTGGAATCTCAGTATCATCAGTACAACAGGAGAAACGGCAAATACGAATTTAAAGCGGATTCACTGAATTAATGCTGTCAAGCTCAATACTGCAAAGACACCTTAAAAACAATTTTTTAAAAAAGCAGTTGCCTGTCTACTCTTAAATGATGTTACTATACATGTGACTGTGCATGTGTGTGCACTGTGCATGTGTGTGCACGCATAGCTAGCAATCACTGTGTCCGACAGCTCTTGACCTCCAGTCGTGGTCCCCAGCAAAGCGATGCAGAATGCATCACTGGCAGGGCTCAGGCTCGGGGGAGCACCTGTCAGTTTGTCGGTGTGTGTTTGTGTGTGTGCGCATGTATGCATGTGTGTGTGAGACAGTTTAAATGGTCACGTCAGTTGTCGGAACAGAGTGATGAGGTCAGGACAGCCCTGTCACAGCTGTCTTTGAAGAGAGGTACATGGTCTATCACAGTGACAGCTTTAAGTGCAAATGTCTTTATGACGAGTGCTGGACAATGAAGGGAGAGGTGGAGTTAATCTAAGTAAGCCTCCATTAAAAAAAAGGGGGAAAAAAAGAACGCTTGTGGTGTACTTCTGCTAAATCCAATGATTTCACAGATTTATCGTCACCTTTGTGTGCAGCGGGAAGACGTCACTGAATGAGATCATCTTTTCAAATAAAACTTTGAAACACTGCGTTTCACCAAAGGGGGTCAATAATTGTGTCAAGAATCTTATGATTGTACTTGGAAAGATTTAATTAGCTCTACAAAAGCAAGTGCCAGTGATTGAGAGAGTAAAAGAGTACATATTCAAAATCAGCTAAACTAGCTCTTTTTTCTCCCCTGTTGTACTAAATAAGGCAACTGTCTGGCTCCCGACAGCAAAAGAAAACTCATTATTTTCATTTCCATTTTTCTGGTTGATTGTCAACAAAGCTGAAGGTGCCTTGGGGATTTTTCTTCTAAAAAACAAAAAAGAAAGAAAAGTTAAAAGTGGCCAAAAAGCACAAGAAGTGCTCATATCCATCCTCATAAAACACGTATCATGAAAGCTCAGATCCACGTTCACCGCTTTGCTGTTAACTTCTCGGCTTTTGTTCTGACATTGCTGCCCATCACCACCATCTGTATCACTTATACACCACTGATAGTGCAGATTTTTCTTTTTTGTTTGTTTGGTTGGGGGTTTTTTTTGGAGGGGGGGGGGTTAGGTTGGCACTAGTATGATGCTTTGCTGTGTCCGTACTCATCTAACACTGCTCTGAAGAAATTACTTTTTTGCAGCAATTTATTTCTGCACTGCTTTAAACCATCCATCCATCAATCTTAATCAAACCACTGGAAGTTATATCCTGACCTGAAAGAAAAATCAAAGGTCTTAAAACAGAACTTGTCCGCTCTTTGATAGACATTTTTATGTAACATTTGTTCTTTTTTTGTCTCCTGCCTATAAATGTGAGTATTCAACTTGCTCTTAGTCATCATTATTACATCAATAGTTGCATATATGCCACCAGTCGTCTTCCTTTGATTGGCATCATACGCCTCTTCGCTATTTCACCTCATAGCTCTACGTCTCGCTGTCCTTCTATTATGCCTGACACTGTCGGCTCTCCTCCTTCACTCCATCCTCTCTCTAATAGTTCTGGCATTCTTAGCGCCGTCCTCCTTTACTCCCATCCCTCCTTCCATTTCCAACCTGCCGTCCTTTCCTCTAATATGGTTGACATTCTTTACTTTCTCTTCCTTCCATTTCTCCTGGCTGACTCAAGCTAAAGTGCTGCCTGGAGGGCCCTTTCATGGGTAGCAGAATTATAACGCTCGGGGCCAAGGCCACAGGTTAAGTGCACTCCGAACAAAGAAAAAGTGACATAAGGGCTGAGTTCTACTTATGTGCACAGAGGAGGAGGACGGTTTATGCAAGGTGAACTGGAGCTGCTGGCAGTGAGGCATTAGGGAATCATCTTAAACAAATAAATATGCAACAAACAAAATGACCAACTCAGAACAGCTCCTCTTCTATTCTGCAGACAGCACTGATCTCTGACCTGTACAGAAACACATTCAGTATTTTGATATTATTAAGTATTAATATCTATGTTATCTCTCTCTTGTAGAGTCTCTCTTGGCTCTCGCATCTTTCTCTCTGTCCCTCCCTTTTATTTCCTGCTTGGCTTCTTTGTCCTTGTCTAGTCTTGTCTAACTCTTAGAGACTCTCTCAGTCTTGTTCTCTGTAAACAAGAAATTATGGATTTGATCAACTGGTCTCTTTTTCGCCCTAAACCAAACCCAAACAACCACTAATTACATGCAGCCTCACCTCACTAGCTGGAAGTTCCAGGGCGGAGGCAGGAACAACAAATTCTCCCAGATCACAAGACGGTGTATGACCCTATCCTCCTACTTCCTCGGACCGGACGGCTGTTGTGTACATCGGCTCTGTCCAATACCCCCTCCCCTGTCACAAGTCGCATGTTTTTTATGTTGTTATGTTGTAAGGTGTGAAGATTCATGTGCTTCATTGTGCTGAGGGTTTTTATTCTATTCTCAAACTGCTCTCCCATTAGGAGCTCAGTCTGGGTGGAGTTCTTATTTTTCCCTCCTCTTCCCTCATGCATTTATGTATTTCATTGTTTTTTTACCATCATACATCTCTCTGACCTGTCTTACCAACGTCATGTTTGTGCAATGTATGTACGGTTGGAAGGGGTCCTATTTCACTCTGTGTTCGTGTAACATTGCTAGTGACAATTAAACGGCTCAATCTCAATCAATTATGCTACGCAGTCTAACAGGGAAAACTGTGGTTGGAGACTGCAGCATGACCAAAATTATGGCGACCGTGTACATGCATACATGCAGTCTCCTGACAATAAACAGCGATACAGGTGAAAACTGCACATCTGTTGATGAAAAAGTCCCATTAACTACTTATATTCAGAGTTTAGCCAGACTGATCTCAATGTGCTGGCAATCTGTCCGCATTTATAGGTTGCCTACCACCAGGTGACCTGTGGAATCACATGGTGATTGAAAGTGGTCGCTCAGGTATTGGGGGTGTTGCAGGGCCAATCAGCTGCTCACCTCACCTGTTTCCAAGTGGTTGCTGCGTGTGACATAATTGAATGGAATCACCGGGCAACCGCTGATATTTCTCAGTCAAACGGAGGTTGCCGTCCTATTTCTACTTTAGTGTGAATGAGCTATTATGCATAAGCAAGACTAGCTAGCTAGCAACGGGAGCCAAACTAGCTACAGAGATTCTACAACCTTACCATGGTACCACGCTAAAGGTTTTATCAGGCATGCAGCATGACTAAAGGCATGGCAATGTCCGTCAACCAGTGCATCATTTACTAAAATCTGGTAAAGAAACGCACAACCTAAGTATTGATTTTTCTTGTAACATCACTACCAGGAAGGCATCAGAGAACCAAACCTGCTTGGCATTCACAGCTAGGATTGTGAATGTGGAAAACAGTAACATCACTGCATCATTGCTGTGCCTTAGCAGACTATGACTAAACCACTAATATGACTGTAGACTGCCCGAATCCATTCACCACAGTCACTATAAGCAAAAAAGGATGAAATAAAAATGCCAGTCAGGTTGCAATTTCTATTCATGTGTGTTCTGACTCATATATCTCACAGTTCTTGAGGTTTAGAGTTGAATATCACAGTAAGGTGACCTTATGACCATAAATAAACAAATAAAAGAAAGAACTCTTGGGCGTTCCGATATCGCTTTTGAATATTGAAACAAAGATATTATCCATACAGACAAATGGCAAACACACAGGCCTAATACATGCCCATCTCTGCCATAAGGAAAGAGATATAATAAATACTATCATTAACATTACACTAGCAAATAATGGCATGCACATTTTTCATATTTCTGTACATGTTTTCTTTGCATCCTAATAGATTGTGCAGAGCATTTCATAAGCTCTTATCCTGAAATATTCTGGTGCATACATGGTGAAATGCAATAATACAACTGCTCTGAAGCACATAATGTACTGTACATAAAAAAATGCTGAACTATAGGTCAAAGCCTGCTGGCTTTGCAACAGTGAAGCAACATGAGCTAAACACCCACAAAGCATCATGGGACTAGGATGATGTGGGTGTATTGATTTCTATGTGGGAGTGGGGCAGAGGGGTGGAGCTAAAACTGGAAATGCAGTAGATGACAGATGCCGATTGTGTGAACTTTAAATGGGCATGTGGGGGAGGAGTGGATGTAATGGAGCAGGGCGAACGGTGCAAGTGGAAAAAAAGACAGATCAGAGTGGGATGGAAGGAGGGAGGGATGGAGTTGAGGGGTGGGGCCGGTATCACAGTTACCACACCTCACCATAGAGACGGTTGCTTAGTGATACGGCGAGGCTGACCAACACCGATGCTGACCGCTGAATTTTATGTCAGCACCTCTCACCTGGAGGTGTTCTTGTGATAAAGGTGTGTGTGTGAACCGAATGTTTCATATGTCATAATGAGATGAACATTCATGTGTAAAGTCCTTTCAGCTTCTGCACAATATTAAGCTCTGAGGAAAAAAAATGGGGAGATATTGATTTCAAACTGTGTTTACAACTGAGTTGTACTTGCTAAATCAGTCCATGATCAGCACTTTTACACTGAAACAGCAAAAATGAATAGTTTTCTGTGCACTGTGATCTCACCTGGCAGAAAACGGGTTTATACGTGTCGGAAAAGAGCTGGGTTAGCTCCTCAGAGTCACAGAGGTCCAGGGGCAGTCTGTCCACGCACAGACACTTGGAGTGCAGGTTTTCCTCCTGGCTCAGCTGGTTGACGTCCATCCACTGCACCATTAGCGAGCGATCCCCCTGCAACAAGCACCAGTGAGACGCAGAGTCAGACAGTAAGGCAACGCTAGGTCCACTTATTTGCCAAGCGCATTTGGTGACACTACACTGCAAAATAAAAATGTTTGTATTGTACTCAATTAGTCATGGTTACACTTTGTGGATTGTCCCTGTGCAGTTATCCCACAGAGAGTACAGCGCTATTTGTACATGTCTACTTTACTTTCAATTGGGAAAAAAAGAGTCTGTTTGTGTTTTTACAACACATTTCACCTGATTTGAAAAGCTGGGATCCGTGAATATCTTTCCAGCTTTACAGCAGTCACAATATATGGCTCGCTTTTTTGTGTGTAATGTCTCGATCTCTGCTGTGTCTAGGAGTAAAAGGGGTGAAACACCAGCTCAGAGAGTAATCTAATTCATTCAGCATTTGACTGATCCGCCTGTCTGGACACTTGAAATCGGTAGCGGGTTGCCAGGTCGTGGTGAAGGTTGTACAGACTGTGTTTAACCGACAATCTAGCAACTTGGTAAGATTAGAAGAACTAACCAAACATAGGCATGCGTGCATTCCAATTATTCATTAAAAAAAAAAATTGGGAGGACACTAGAAAATGTTCTCAAAATACAGAAGAAACCCAGGAAAAACTGGCATGTTGGTGATTGCTTTAAGATCCTCAGCTGGCGTCACGGGCACTTGCTAAACTCTGCAAAGCTTTAATGCGAGATACAGTCTGCGCTCTTGCCGCTGTAAGTGCTGGTTTGAAAGCCTGTCAGCCCTTGAGCTCTACTTCCATTTGCAGATTCCGATTCACTTTTCACAAATGTGAGGTCATAGATTATTGTATGCAATAAACCGATTTTGATGCACTTAAATTTAAGCAATTATGATTTCAGCATTTGTTCCCACAGATAATTTTACTTGGACAGATTTTCTTTGTGTGTGTGTGTGCGTGTGTGTGTGTGTGTGTGTGTGTGTGGTTTGTTCAATTCATAAACTGAAACCAAACTCAAGCAGCAGGGCCTGCATTTTTACTGATTATATTTTTTTCTCTTCTATTGCCAGTTCCCATCAACCTCAACAAATGGTGGTCGTCGATGGAAACAAGTTTCAGTCGAGCTTTGTCTATATAAACCATGCACATAGTAAATAAGACAAAAGAAATAAGCAGCCTGTGTTGTCTTGGCAACTAGTCTAATCCAGTATAATCAATCCCTTATTTTGAGCATTTGATGTTTCAGTCCATGTAAAGAAGATGTTTTCTGGCCTAGGCTACTCCTTTCCCATCTCATTACATGTACCTGCTGCAGCAGATTTTTAACACTTGCTCTAACATACCATTGGGCGGCCCAGGAGCTCCGAGCGGGCCCGTGAAGCAGAATCCTTCTTCATGTATTCAACAAACCCATATCCTTTGGAGTGGCCCGTGAGCTCACTGTACACCAGGAAGGAGCGCTCGATGTTCCCATAGGAGCGCACCAGCTCCTCAAACTGCTGGGCGGTGAAGGTGTGGGGCAGGTTGGTGAGGCACAGCAGGGAGTCGGTGGGCTGCAGGGTGACGTTGATCAAACGCCCACGGACAGTGCTGTGGTGGAGGGAGCGGATGGCATCCTGAGCCTGGTCCCCGTTCAGCAAAGTCACAAAAGCTGGAGGAGGGGACATTATGGAGACGGCGACGAGGGGAAAAGACGGACGAGGAACAAGGACACATACAAAGAAAGGGGATACACAGACACGGATGGACGGGAGGATCGGGACAAACACAAACATACATTTAAAGCGGACATTCAAAAAAACGTGCATAAAGAAGTTTGCGGGGGATGCGGGATGGAGACACACAGTCAAAGAACATGCTCAAAAGAACTCACGTGAAAAGCAAAGAAAATGAGCGACGGGCCAAATGTGGCGGGGTTAAAAAAATAGAAAGAAAAAAGAAAAGAGGGGGATGAAAGAGGAAATTTAGGCACAAACAACCAAAACCACAGAAACACAGTCATAAAAGACAGACGGACGCACATACACAGAGAGAAAGACAACACATTAGCTAGAAAGCCAATAGGGAGGCACTATGTAGGGGTGGGGGATCCACTGTGACACACACGCACGCACGCACGCGCACACGCACACACACACGCACACGCACACACACCTCACTCTATTTAAAAACATCAACCTGATAAATGAGAGAACCAACAGCACTAACAAATGCAATGTTAAATGTAGAATTTAATGAGAATTCAAAAGAGCTACCTGATAAAATATCAGCTGTTTTTAAAATAACTTGAAGCAACAGGAGTTCTGTGCACAGAGGCTGTCAGTGCTTTGTTATGTTATTTGGAGGAAGGAGGACGCGTTAAAATCAGAGAAAGTGGCATGTCCTGAAAGTCTAATGAAATTTGAAGAGCTTTTTTGTGTGTGTGTGTGTGTGTGTGTGTGTGTGTGTGTGTGTGTGTGTGTGTGTGTGTGTGTGTGTGTGTGTGTGTGTGTGTGTGTGTGTG